TTGAGTCTCTTATCTCCAACCTGTTTACCAATTCTTTCCTCATCTTTTTAATCATTGATTTTACTTTTTTATTTTCTTAAACTCTTTCTTGTCAATCAGGACCATTTTTGTCTGAAGCTAAAATTCTTTTTTTCCTGTCATATTTTTTCTCAACTCTTGCTTCACAGGTTTTACATCTGGTTAAATTATATTGAAAGGATAACTTTTTAATCTGTAATTATGGTTTTTCAAATATATGCTATTTCTTTGCATTATCAAGAGAATGCTTTCTCTAGTAGTTCTGCAAAACCACAGAACTTTTAAATTGTGTGTGTGGGTGTGCATATGTGTGTGTGTGAGTTGTGCATTTAGATATATAGGTATAGATAGATAGTTCTGGAATTTCCAAACAAATGGTCATATGGATTCTTTGTCCTTATCTTCCATCTATGACACATCCTTGTATCAAAGCTAAAAGACATATACAGCTCTTAAACAAGTTTCTGTTGTGATTTAGATACTTATCTAAAAATTTTTTCTTGGGTTATAACTGTCACTTTCTTTTTTCCAAATATGATGAAGAAAAATACTTGTGAGTATTCTAAAGCAATGTGTTGTTCCTGTGTCAGAAGCTGCACAAGGAAAACTATTTTTATTTCTTCTGGTTTCTCTCTTTTCCAATGGTTGCTTAAAATCTAAAGTTGCAATGCTCCATTTCCTATCTACTTCTACTGGGCCAAGAGAATTAATGCTTCCAATAGATCCAGTGTTGTCTGTTCAGTATAGTAGTCACTATCTGTTGGTAACTATTGAGCATTTGAAATACCTCTGATTCAAATTGAGTCATGCTATGAGAGTAAAACACACACTAGATTTCAAGACACTAGACAAGAAAAAGGAATGTAAAATATCTTAAAAAGTTTAACTATATTGATCTCAAGTTGAAACAATAGTTTGTATAAACTAAAATGTTCTATTATAATTTATTTCATTAACTTTAGTTTTTTTAAAAGCATCTACTAGAAAATTTAAAATTATCTTGTGTATATTATGTTTTTATTAGATAGTGCTCATAGAGACAGGTGCAATAGAGAATGTGCAACAATCTCAGGTCATTTCAGAAAGTCATTTTCTGGTGAGCAGTATCCCTTTGTCGCTTTTCCAAAAGAGTAGTGAACGTTGACAAAAATGTCAGTCCATTTTTTTCCCTTATGTCATTTTGTTTCTGTATGTTATTTTATTTAAAGGTTAAAAAAAGTGAAGGCTACTAATAGTTCCAATCTAAATACCAACATTCTTCCCAGAATTGGAGAAAATAATCCTAAAACTCATATGGAACCAAAAGAGATCCAGAATAGCAAAAGTAATACTACATAACAAGAGCAAAAGCAGGAGATTTCAAAATCCCAGAGTTGAAGTTATATCATAAAGCTACTGTGATAAAAACAGCATGGTACTGGCATGAAAACAGGTGTGAGGATTAATGGAACAGAATAAAGGCTGCAGAAACAACCCCAAGCACATTCGGGGATTGAACTTGGGTCTTTGCACTTGCAAGGCAGGCCACCAAACTGCTGAGCTAAATCCCTGGCCCTAACTATTTGATCTTTGACAAAGGGAACAAAAGCATACATTAGAGGAAACATAGCATCTTTAATAAATGGTGTTGAGAAAACTGACTATTCATATGTAGAAAATTGAACCTAGATCCAAATTTCTCACTCTGTACTAATTAAAGTCAATATGGATGAAAGATCTAAATGTTAAAACAGAAATGTTTAATCTGCTGGAAGACGAGAGGCAAAACTAGTGAAGTCATATGCATAGGAAGAAATGCTCTGAACAGAACTCTAGTTCTTTAGGAATCAATAAATGGAGTTGTATCAAATTAAAAGGCTTCAGGGCCAAGGATTTAGCTCAGTGGCACTGCACCTGCCTCACAAATGCAAGGTCGTGAGGTCAATCCTGGGCACCTCCCCCAGAAAAGCTTCTCTACAGCAAGAGAGACAATCAACAAAATGAAAAGAAAACCTACAAAATGAGAACAAAATTTGCTCACTATTCCTCAGAGGACTAATATCTAGAATATATAAAGAACTCAAAGTAGACTCCCTCAAATAAAAGACTCAATCAAAAAATTGGAAGGTGAAATGAATAAACACTTTACAGAAGAAACTCAAATGACCAACAAATAGAGAATGAGATGATGAACATTGCTGGCTATTAGAGAAATATAAATTTTTCCCATTAAGTTTATTGGTACATTTTTAGGTATACAATACAGTCACAGTCATCATCAGAATCTTTTACCTTTACATGATGTATCTTGGTTCTTATTTTTCCCCATTCCCCTGCCTGCTCTTTACCCCACTTCCCTATTTACAAAGACTTTTTTTTCATTTTTTACTTTTCTTATATTTTTCTTTTCCCTTCTTTCCTTTCCCCTACCCCTCCTACTTCTCCTACTCCTTTAGACCTTTTCTTCCTATTTCACATTGTCAATTATACATTTTGATCCTTATTTACACTTTTAGTTTTTCATACCAGATATATACCAAATATAAAACTATTTATAGCTAAATGGTTGCACATTGAGGCCATGCTTTTAAGTGAAATAAATAGGACATACATGAGTAAATACTGAATAGTTTCTCTGGTATGTAAAACTAAAAGAGAAATGCAAATTAAAATGACAGATTCGATTGTGCCCCAAGAAGAATGTCCATCATCAAGACATCAAATAATAACAAAGGCTGGTGAGGCTGTGGGGGAAAAGGAACATTGCTGATGAGACTGTAAACTAGTACAACCACTATGGAAATCAGTATGGAGATTCCTCAAAAAAAAAAACCTCTAAACATTCCATTTGACTCAGAGATTCTTCTAGGTATCTTTATGAGAGTTAATGTCATCATATTACAGTAATGCATGCATAGCCATGTTTATAGTAGCATGATTCATAAGAGCTAAATCTTGGAAGCAGCCTATATGTTGACTAACAGATGAATGGACAAGGAAATGTGATATTTACACAGTGGAGTGCTACTCTGCCATAAAGAAAGATAAACTTGAGTCATTTGTAGGAAATGACTAAATTCTGAGATTGTAATGATAAGTGGAATGAGTTGGACACACAAGCTTAAATATCACATGACTTTTCTTACACGAGGAACCCAAATTATAAATGAAGAGCAAAATAAAAGATAATAGGAAGTTGAGAGACAGATCTTTCTCAAATGGGGTTCGAGACAGAGAAAGGAGGAAGAAGGGAAGGCAAAGAAGAAACAAAGGAATTAATATGTGTTATGTATATGTACTGACTCCCTACAAGGAATGTAAACATTATGTACTTCAAACATGTACTAGTTAAAATTTAAATAAATAAAAAATAAATCCCATGTGTTAGTTAATTTTTGTTCTGTAGGAAGATACAGAAAGCATGACAATAAATATTTAATTCTCATATACTAGTCAGCATAAGTCCCTGATCTAGGTGGACACCTTAGCTGGGGCTTCCTCCCTGGACATGTCTCATCCTCTAGCAGGTTGACCTGGTCATGTTCTCATGAAAATTGCAGACATGCAGGAGTGAGAACAAGCCTAATCTTATAGCTACTTTTCAAGGTTCTGTTTATGTCATGTTTACTAACATCCCATTGGGCAAACTAAGTCTTAGAAACACTGAAACAGAACTGGAAAGGCCATGGTAGCCAGCTTTCCTTCATGACAACAGATGCCTTATAAAGATTAAGGGGTTATTTTGGCTCAGAGTTTTAGAAGTTCTAGTACATGATCAATTGGCCCCTTGCTTTCAAGCCTGTAAAGGCTGGGGTATGTTGTAGAGTAAAACAACTTATCTCGTGGCTTGGAAGCAACAAAGAACATGGGGGCTGGGGTCTTACCCTTGTCAAGAGCATACCCACCCCCGATGACTTAAAGAAATCCCATAGGCCCACAGCCTCCCAAGGGGACAAGCCTATAAGACATGGGCCTCTGGAGAACACTTAAAATCCAAACTACAGCAAAGGCACCACAAAATTAAAAAGTAAAGAGCATAAGCACAGAAAGGGATGAGGAATAGGGCTTAACTCCCCATTTGGATCAGAAGGAATTCATTCAAAGTTTGGGAAAAGACCAATATATTTCCAAATATGTCATGTTTACCTCTGTGGGAAGAGAGGTATTGTCATAACCTGAAAGTCTCTCACTGTCGTAAGAATATTTTTACATTCCTTGTAAACTTTTTGTGAAACAAACAATATTGTTGCCCTGTTTACAGAAAATATTCTTATTTTGGACAAATGCGACTAGAAATTTTTTGTGTGTGATTTTTAAGCTAGTTAAGACAGTTTTTTTTCTATTATTTTATCATTGTCATTATAATTCATTGTTGTTATTCATTTCGTGAGGAAAAAGCAGCACTGTGTACATCCCTAAGGGCAGAACTAAAACTGGCGTTGTCAGAGCGGTGTCTGTTTCCTACATAGGGATGAGCTGGTACACTTGGAACAAGAGTAATAATTTCCTACTGGCCAAATACTTGCTTTCAGTCAATCTGTCTGACCATATTGAGGTGGGGTTACCAGCTAAAACATTTGCTATTGATTATGGAGGATCATATGAACCATGGAGAAGTTTTCTTTGGAGCTGAGGAAAAGGAATTTTCATCCCAACTTTGCAGTTTATTAGGCATGTGATTGTGACTGTTTCTGCACTTGTGAGAGTCTTCTTACTTTATTCTGTAAATTGAAGCCAGTGAATTTCCACTCAGAAGGGTGTCTGAAGGGATGGTGAGAAAGCACGGCACCTAACAGAAGGCAGGCACAGGAAGTGGTAGCTGTGTCCCAATATGTCTGTATGGGACTGTGTTGGGATTCCCTACTTGCTGCAACTCCATTTCTAGTTGACATTTAGCACAGCTGAAATATTGTCTATTGTTCACGTATTTTCATATTCATTTATTTAAATATTGTATTGGTTTTGCTAGTTCATTCACTCAACAGCATTTATTGACTTCACAGGTTGACTATCTCCTGAACAAGACGCTGAGGTGGAGTCTGGGGAGAGAAGTACTTCATAAAAACCAATATGGGTGAAGTTAAGAGGGAAGAAGTGGCATTGGACAGAGGGAAAGCCATATAGCCATACAGGACAAACCCAAAGTTGGTGGGGAAATCTGCAGCTGGTGTTACCTGTTGGAACTGTCCCATGGCAGCATCCATACAGTGCTGTGAATTATGCCTCTACATTGTTCATTCACTAGATGAGGCCTGCGCAGGAAAGGTGAAAATAAGCCTCTGAAGGAGCTGACAGCTGAAGGCCAGGTATTGTCTACACTCTGTGAATTCTTACTTGAAAGGGATCTTGGTGGCCCAACTTTACCTTCCTGACTCTTGGCTACTGTGTGCAGACACTGCTAAGTCCTGGGGCTTCAGAGTGGATCAGGGCAGACAGACTTCCCTCCCCCTGTGGATCTGGTACTCTAAGTTGGTTTGAGAATTTCCCAGTTGTCTCTCTATTTCACATGAACAACCTTCTTCGGATAGATTGCCTCATCGTGAAAGTGGCAGAAGAGAATAATCCCCTCACTCATTTTCTGCTAATTTGAATTGTTCTGCAAATACTGATTTTCTTTTTGCGCCAGGCAGTGTTAGATGCTGAGACACAGTGGTGAACAGTTGACGGTGTTGTAAGAGCAGACAGATGTCTTGCCATCAGTTCAGGCTGGGGAGGTTCCCTTGAGATTTGGGCAACCCGAAGAAGAGATGCAGAGCTATGGACTGGGTTGGACATCTTTTATTTTAAGCCTCCTCAGCCACCGCCCAGTCACCCAGCTGCTCTAGCAGCTCTTTCACACTGCACATCAGCTACTGCACACGCAATAGTGGTTGCCAGTAACAGACTTTCTGTGCGGCAATTGGTTACATAGGTTATTTACACCGGGGCACCAAGAGTTATACCTGCCCTGGAGTGTTGTTGACCCTTTGCCTTCTAGGTACCCCCTTCACAGCCTGAACTATAGCCAGGGCCACCTTGGGCTTTTATGTTTCCTACGACAGACATTTAAAGATAAACTCAACATAAAGTAAGAAATTATGAGCTAGAGACAAAACCAAGGAGCTAAGGGCATTCAGAGTTAGGAAAATTTCCCTCAGCTTGGGCATCAGGGGATGCTTCCTAGAAGAAGAAAAAAAGAAAGAAAAATTTGAGCCAACCAGATAATTTTCCAGCTCTTAAGTAATTTTCTTATTTCATAGAGAAAAAAAGAACAAATGGAAGCCTTAAACATTTATAGGAATAATCGTGCCAAGGAAATTTAATGGTAAAAATGAGCTTTTATGATCTTTAAATGAAGGTTCTCAAGAAGTTTTCCTTCACTTTTAAGCTTTGAAAGCTTTAAAAGGGTTTCCTGTGGGGCTGGAAAGCTTCACGTGGGATGGTGTGGAGACTTCATAAATGATTTCACTCTGTGTGTTAAGCTGCAGTCATGTCTGTGAGAGGCCATCTATACAGAGAACAATCTGCACTCCTCAATGTGATGTGATGCGTAGCCTTGACTTGGTTCGAGTTCTGTTGTCTTCCCTGCCAGTAGCACTGTGAGGCCCCAGGAAGGCTCAGGAATGCACCCAGCAGGGCTCCCCCTAGCTTGTGTTCTTCTCAGCTCTTTTCACATTTGGTTGGCAAATATGAGGATTTGGGGAACTGAGGATTTTAATAGAAGTGTATTAGAGAGAGGCTATGTCTCCTTACACATTTTAGAAATGATCACCAAAATCCCCATTCCATGATGTATTTGCTGATGCAAAAGTTGGAAAATGTTAGTCAAAAGATCTATTTACTAACTGGGTGAGCAGCAGGTAGTCATGATAACTTCTCTGAAACTTCACTGATGAGCAGGATTCCAGTAATGATGGTTCCAAAAAGGGAACATCAAGTGCTGTGGAAGTGGAGATTTCAGCATGTCAGGCTAATTATATTGGGACTGTGTCTGGGGTGTCCATGTGAACCCAGCAATTAGCTGAGTTCACCCTTCCTTCCAGGACTGGAGTGAAAACGGGTTCTCACCCTTATCCCTGCTGGACGGGAAGTTCAGTGGTCTCAGTAGTTCTACAGCGTGCTATGCCTTTTGTCTTCTGATCATCCTCGACTCCTACCATGTGTCTGGGTTTTGCTGAGCCTTATTCTCTGTTGACGCCCTTGCTCTTTGTCATCCTAGTGTCAGCCCAGCGTGGGTCGATGGCCCTTTCTCCTGGAGTGGCCTCCTCCATCTGCTCCCTAGTATCTCACATTCACATGTGATTGCTTCTTCGCTGGAGAAGTGACAGAGGATAGCTAGTATCAGTAACAGTGGATTTCTTTATTCCTTAATAAGAAGATTCCTTAATCATTGCTGCTGCTGGAATTCCACATCCCACCATTGCTAAGGTATTCCTCTTTCATCTTTCTACTGACCTCTTTTCTTTTTCATCTAGTTTCCCACCCAAGACTATGGTGCTTTTTCCTTTTCTGTCTGTGTTTTTTCTTCTTTCTTTCTTTATTTTTTTTATAGAATGGTCTTATGATTTCCTTTTTGTTTCTATCTAACACAGTAAGACTCAACCTTGGGCTGCACAGTTGAAAGTACTGAGGTTTAGGCTCTTCCTTAAAGCTCTTGATCTAATTAGTTTGTTGTGGGACTCAGCTACAGTTTTTTTTGTTTTTTTTTTTTAACAGACACCCTCACATATTTTCAACTATGCCCTCTGGCTGAGACATGGTAAATCTTCAGAGATTCATCTGATCTTACAGAAACCCTACCACTCACTTAAAGAAGAAAAAAAAAAAGCTCATCTCTATTTATCTGTCTGTTCTCAAACATACATTTTTTGTCATATTACACATACTTCAATTCTTACAAAAACTATGGGTAACTATTAATGTCTCCATGTTGGGAGACTGAGGCTCAAAGAGATCAGAAACTTGCTTAGATTCCCAGCCACGGAACGGGAAAGACAGATTTTTCAATCCAGGACTGTGAAATTATAAGCCTTTTCTTTTGTTCTAATATTTTTTCCACCACTGCTTCCTTTTGCTCAAAGGCACAAGTAGCACGGACAATGTTGCCTCTTAGGTGTCACCTCTTCCACTCACTCCTAGTTTCCCACCTCCACTGAAATCTTTGTCAGCTTATTTTTGACTCATGTTATTCTTTCTCCTAAAGATCTCGCTTTGTCCAAAAACTCAGGCAATTGTCGTTTACACCAGAATAATTGCAGACACATACTGAGTGCTTACTATGTGGCCAAGTTCTGATCACTGGAGCATTGCTCATGTGTAGGTATTCTCTGAGGCATAGATGCCCAAATTTGGGGGCTGTACTGATGAAGAGAAACTATTTCTGGTTGCATATAAAGTATATAATATAGTTAATGTATGTAAGTCGCAAAGCATTCTTCTATATTTTTTATTCCAACATTTTAAAAAAGAAGGGCAAGGTAGGGCATGGTGGCACACACCTGTAATCCCAGCACTCAGGAGGCTGAGGCAGGAGGATTGATGTGAGTTTGAGACCAGCCTGGGCTACATAGTGAGTTCCAGGTCAGTCTTAACTACATAGCGAGATCCTGTCTCACACACACACACAAATAAAAATAAAAATAAACAACAAATAAAAAAGAAGGTAAAATAAACATAAAGTGAGAGGGACATTTGACCTTGCTTCTGTGAAACTAATGCATCAATGTCTGGTTCAGTAGAAGTGGTGGCCCAAGTTTAATGATTAAATAAGAAAGCTTACACATCTGCTTCATGCCTGTCTTCACAGGCATGAACACATGCAGGTAGGCTTCTAATAATAATATAATTATTGGCAGTTGCTTCAATTGGTGGGAGGAATAGGCAGAGTTGCTCTGTGCCCTTCCTACGCAGTGTTCCCTTGGTGCCTAGGCAGTGAGAACTTAGCACCAGACAATGGAATCATGAGAAACACTGCTAAAAATCACATAATAATGAGCCAGGCGTGGTGGTACACCACTGTAACCCTGGCACTTTGGGAGGCTGAAGAAGCAAGATAGCAACTTAGTAACATAATGGGACTGTTTCACAATTAACAAGGGCTGAGTTCAAATCTAAAAATCCCATAATGATGTTAAACGTTCACAGTCTGTGAGACCGCATTACTAGCTGTCTAGAGCCACAGCTGGACAGAGGGCTGTGGGTTGAACACACTTTTGTGCATGTGAATCACCTGGGGACAGACTGGATTTGCAGTTTCTGACTGTCCTTCTGAGGTGGGCCGAGAGCAGGTAGTTCTACTCACCTCACAGTTCACAGTCTCAGTACCCGAAGACTTAATGTTCTTGCCTTAATTAAAAAAAAATTTCCAGCAGCTGGCCATTAAATACAGTGGGGCTAAATCTCTCCTGCCATTTCTGATAAAATGGACTGGAGAACATTCTGGTTCAAAGAAACTAGGAGTACTACAAGGTCACAGATTCCATTTAATGTTAGTTTCATTAATTAATTAAAAAGCAACCATTACTTAGATGTAAAAATATATATAGTTCCACTGGGAAGGACAGAAAAGATCGATATAGGCAAGGTGATTTAGTACTGAGAGGTAGGACCGGGGTGTTTGAAGAGAGACGGCGACAGCAGCTGTTTTCCATTCTGCCCTTTGGTCCACCTTTCCCCCATTTGGTGAGAGATCTCCTCTGGCCATCCCCAGGCTTCTGTGAAATGCAAAGTGCAAAGGGAACTTTAAAGACAGTGCCCAACAGTCACAGTCTTACCCCAGGAACTTTTCCATATGATTTTTTCCCCTCTTTTCAGTCGCCATTCATTTTGATGTTCAGATTCCCTGGGGCTCTGTGACAAAAGCCAGGGTGATTAGTGCTTGGGAAGAGCCACTCAGCACTGAAGCCTTCAAGTTGGGCCGGACCGCCCTTCCGGGCTGGGCACAGACTTCCCTCGAGTGCGTGGGGAGGACTGATGACAGCCAGGAACAGCAGCCCTCTGGTAGCCTCATGAAAGCACCCTACATGGAATAGTTAATTACAGAGGAAAGTTATGGGTTCCAGTTGACAGGATAATCTAATCAATATTGCTCACTCCAAACTCTAATTTACATGTCTTACAACTCATTAAATTTGAAATATTATTGATTTTCAAGTAGATGGCTTAGAGGATAAATAAGCCCATTTTATCTTGGAGACCTTGGTTTAAGTTTGATCCGTGGACCTGCAGGCAGGAAGGCTCAAATCTCTTCATTAGGCAGTGTTTGTGGAGTAATCATACTAGACATACTGCATTGATGCAAATAATTTGCCAGGACTCTGTATTTCCC